ATATATATATATATATATATATATATATATATATATATATATATATATATATATATTAAAGATGACCATCTCATTGAACAGTGAACTTAGGGTGTAAAGATAAGGATGGGGCTGATACGTGTCATTCCCACGTCTCTCCACCGGTTCTGCCTTATCTTCCCCCTACCCGCTCTCTCATCCACTCATATTCAGATTGATTGTTTTTCTTCCGTTTCGATGACAGAGAAGTCCACGCTTTGATCTCTTCCTGATTAGCCCCTGCTTCATCTTCTTTCAAACTCATGATATGAATTCGAATGCTCCCTCATCCACTCCTCCTGTCGCCGCTGATTCCCTACATTCGTCGGTTCCTAGGAGAAATTCGAAGCGACCCAAATGTAAATCTCTTCAATGATAGTAACATATATATTCTTATTCTTATTATTGAGGTTGGGTTTTGATTGGTATTTATTTTTAGAGTATCAAGCGCATATATCTGATCTAGCTTTTCCTTTTTAAATTTCCATTTTTAGATTCTAGGTTTACTGAGCTGGAACTTCCAGCGTGCAAGCCCATTCTTACCCCAAGATGGGTGCGTATCTTTTTTTCCCTCCTACTGCTGCTCATACTTCTTAAAATTTGAAAGAAAATAACTTTATTTGGACAGGTGATATCGGCCTTCATGCTTGTGACGATCGTCTTCGTACCAATACGACTTGCATCCCTCTTTGCTTCCCGCGATGTATGCAAAAATTGACCGGAATTTCCTTTTCGGTTTCTTGGCGCCAGTAGTAACTTTTTAGTTTCTGTCTAAATAGGTTGTTGAAAATGTTGATCGCTATGATGCTGAGTGCGCACCAACGGGATCAAGAAGTGACAGGGTCCGATACATACAATCCGCTGCAGACAAAACCTGCAATAGAACCCTCTCATACAGTCGTTGAAATCGCTGCAGACAAAACAGTGTTGTTGAAATCGCGTCGAAATCGCACACAGTCGAGTGAAAAGAAATTATCAATGTTGTCTTCGTCGTTGTGTAATCAGCCCCAGGTTTGTGTAACTGATCATAGAACAAAAATTGTTTAAAAAGTCTCAATTTTATATGAACTTGATGGTTTCTGGTCGGAGATGGATGGCAATGAAGGAGAGGCGGATTCCCAAGATGGTTTTGTCATGAAGTGAGAAACACAACTCAACGATGATTGCGGGGAAATCGATTCAGCCGATATGGGTCGAGTACACACCAATTCAAGATTCTCACACAACCATTTTAATCAAATCTGGTGTTATATCACATAATATGGAGTGAGTAAGATCAAATAGGTTTATTTTAAAATCAATAAATTAATTGGATCAAATTCATATTGTAAAATATGAATACAGGAGGATCTATTTCTGCACGAAAAATGGGCTGCTATTGGAGCTTAGTGAGGCTGATCCTCCAAGGTTATATTTTTTACTTTTTTTTTAATTTTGAAAAGGGTATTTATGTCTTTTCGTAAACATGGGTAAAGGGTATTTATGTCTTTTCATAAACATGGGTAGATGGATAAACCATGGGAAGCCTCCTGGTGCAGATGTTGCAGCCATAGTTAATGCTCCTGGAATTAGGGCACAAGTCGTATTCACCATAAGAAACTCTTACTCATTAATGATTAAGGAGATAACCTCATGGATATTAGATTTTACCCATATTGGGCTTTCAAAAACTAAAAAAAAAAAATTCATAATTTTAGCTTACACTGATATGTACGAAATGAAGTTATTAGCTTTCTTTTATTCATAACTTCACATTTAGTGCAGGTTCTTAATGGCAGAATTAATGTTATTGTGAGAGGAGAATTTATAATAGAGCTTTTAAAGTGCAAAAAGAAAGATATTGAAGAGAAATAGGGTATCAATGGAAGCTAAGAATAGGCTTTGGGGACATGGAGAGAGCAAGATGAATTGTAATCATTAGATTTTACATTTTCTGGACAGTAAGAGTAGCTTCACTCCCATTTTGAATATCGAAAAGTTTCTTATTGTGTTATTTGTTCTTTTGTTGTAGAAAAAAAAGTGTTGCAATTTCAGTGGCTGATGTGGACACCTTTGGCTGCCAAGTTCCATAAAGAAGGTTAGAGGAAAATTTTTTAACGAGGTTATGAAGTGTAAATATACAAAAGGAATTCATTTGCAAAAATATCTAGCCATATATTAAAACAAATTGTAAATTCAATTATATATATTTACAATAAATAAAAATATATTTAAATAAAATTAAAATTAAGAAGTTATTTAATTTTGTTATTGAATCCTATTCAATTTCCAGCGAACAAAATTTGTAACAGATTGTTATTCCCCTATTTCATTCTCAATTCATTTTTTTGTGGTTCTCTTCTTCAGGAGAAACAAAAAAAGGGTTTATTATGCGTTGAATGATCATAAAGGGTGATAGGACCTACTATTTTTAACCGTGGGCATACGCTTCACATTGAAGTTAAATCAGAACCAAATTTTCAACTTTAAACCTTAAAAACATGTCTAAAGATATATAGTTACATTTTAATATTTAATATTTCAACTGTATTTTTTAAGCGAATTGCATATTCATTTTGTGAATAATAGCAAACATGATTAGTCAATCCTTCAGATTCATATAAATCCAGAAGAAGAATTTATTATTTTCATGTTATATCTCTTGAAGTGTTACATGTATGTATTTTCTATTGTTTATACTCTTTTGTTTAAGAAAACAGAAAAATGAAAAGATTTGAAATGGAATTTCAAGTGTATTAGCACTTCAATATGTTGTATTTTCTGTTCTTTATACATTTTCATTTGATTTGCTTCAGAAATTTGCCTTCTTATTGATGTATTAGCCACATCCTTGGAGGTTAAATTCATAGAGGATTTCATGTCAGGTCTCTCTTTGTGTGTGCGTGTGTATTTATGTGTTTTCGTATCTTTTTTGTTATTTTTATGTTTTGTTCTTTTTACAGTTGAAACATCAACATCCCACAAAGGTCATTTGGAGATTCAACACTGTACTAATTAATCAGGAGAGATGTGGGTTTATATTTGTTCTTTGACAACAGAAGTACCTGCAACAACAGGAAGGTTAGTTAATGCATTTTCTTTCATGAATTTACGAATGATTTCATATTTTGAATCTCAGCTTCATTTATGATTAGATAAAAAAAATGATTTGTATTTAGTTGTAACATCCGAATTTTCAGGGACATTATTGTGTATGTTAATCTTGAGATTTAAGGAGGGACTCGACGAGGTGAGGGACCAACTCGCCGAGTCGAGTCGAGTTGCTCGCGTGGATTTAATGAACGGACTCGACGAGTCAGAGGAGGGACTCGCCGAGTAGGTGCTGGGTAGAGAAACCCTAATTTCCTAGGTTTGGGACATATTTAAAGGCATTTATAGCCTCATTTGCGGCTACCTTCCCCTGAGAGCAAACCCTAATTGCTATTGGAGCTAGAGAGTGAGAGAGAAGCTCATATTGTGGTTCTTGGTGCATTTCTATGAAGAAGGATGAAGAGCTTCATGATGGAGAACAAAGGAAGGCAGTGGATCTGTGGTAGTGAGTGTTTCAGCTGCTAAGAGAAGGTACAAAGTCCTCATCTTGTTCATTCCTTGTACTAGATCTCATTTTGGGAGTTTTAGGGGTTTGCTTCGATCCTTTTGAATCTATGAGTCGAATGAGACCTGGTTATGGTTGGAAACCTCAGATCTGGACCTCCTAAGGTCCTTAAATTCTAGATGTCTCAGCTTTAGTGGTCCAAATGAGGGTTGATGAGCAAAAACCTTCATGAAGAGCATGTATTGGCGTTTTGAAGCAATAACATCATGTATGAACGTAAAGATCGAAGCTTTACGTAATTATTGAGCCTTGGGATGATAGATCTATAGTTTAGAGTGATAGATCTGGTCGAAATCGTCTGAATGAGAAATCAGATCAAAGGGACTCGCCGAGTCCATGACCTAACTCGACGAGTCGGCGAGGGTTTGTCCCGATGGATTGATTGTGCGATAACTCGGCGAGTTGGGGGTCAACTCGACGAGTTGAGCTGGACTTTTAAGACTTCTGAGGATACGAGGGGACTCGACGAGTCGCAGGAGTGCACTCGACGAGTGAGGTCAAACTTGGACTGTTGACTCGAGTTTGACTTCTATTGACTTTGGGGTTTTGGTCAACATATGTGATAGAGACC